CAACGCGCCTCTGGGGAAGATGGTGCCTTTGGCGGCGAGCAGCGGCGGCCTGCCCCGAGAGGACCAGTGAAACCGGGAGCGCGGACGGAAGGACTCTCGGCAGCGCTCGACGCCGTTGCGCTCAACGAGGCGTAGGATTGCGCTGCGCTTCGCGGTGGATCGTGCCTAGTCGAGTTAATTAGGACATTTCGGGATTGGGACTGTCCCCAAAACGAATAAACTCTTCCAGCTGCATAGCTGTTACTTCATGCAAATGTTTACGTGGTACTAAACCCCTTCTTTAAGTCGGTGCAGTGTATCCATTGAAAGGCAGTTGTGGAAGAGCTAAAGGAAAGTCGCGATTGAAAGCTTAAAGAACTTAGGAACTAGCTCGTCCCGCATCAGTGCGGGTTATGGTGAAATGGATCTTGGCCAAACTTAATAAGTTTTAGTGAAAGCCTTCGTACTGAATGTGGGAGAGAGGGAAATGCTTGTTTAAATCAGATTTAGGAAAGCCTAGCTAGCTGAGGCTGCATAAGCTACTCATAAGCCACAGAGTTTAAGATGGTTATATAGAAATTGAGAATTGCATTGGAATGTAGACAGGCTATATATAGTTCACATAGGATGCGTTTGCATGACACCATGAAGCTCAGCTAGTATGGTGTCACTTGAAACAGGTTTACCGTGTATCTTGGGTCCCTTTAATTTGTATGCTGTAACAGCAAATTTAAGTAATGTCTTTGTGGGTCATTTTCTGATGACTTTCCCTTTTAAAGCTGCATTAGCTAGGTGTGGAGGCTGAGAGTTTTTATTGATAGGGGAAGGCCTCCTGCATGAAGACTGAGTGTGACTTGTCTGGCAATTTGTGCCCTGCCTCCTGAATGATCTCCTATTCATTCGTCCGTCAAATTTATATGGCCACCCATCTAACAAAAAGTGACTCTGGGTGGCGTACAACACTTAATTAAAAAACAATAAATATATAAAAAAGATCATTAAAATTTTTTGATCCAAGGGGGCAGCAGGGACAATAGGAATGGGAGTGTACCTGTTGCTCTGCTTTGTTTTGTTTTGTTTACTTTGGTCATGTAGAGTTTCTCCAAATAACCTACCACTTTTGAACAGGCCTGACAGTAAATCTGACTTGGCCTGCATTCTAGTTCTTCAGCCATGACTCCTGGGGGCCATAGTGGACATCATGCCTTTGACTGAGAACTAGACTCTGTCCAGACTAACATTTGTTATTAAGTCAGTAGCTCTAGCTAGTTTCTTCATTCCTTGTCTGAGCTCTCTATGTTCTGAACTGCCCTCTTGACTTTTTGACACCCCTGGTGAACATTGCTAGTCTGAGGGGAAGCATCTGAGAAGAGCATAATAAAAGGGAAAGACTGGGTATTACATACACACCCCAAGTTCCTGCTCTTGTTCCTGCTTGTGAAGTTGGTATCAGCTTCAACCCTTGCAGAGGTCAAGAGGGGTCCAGGACAACCTAACCTTTGCCTCTCCTTGATCATCCCCAGCTGGAAGGCCCCAAGACAGGACTTACTGTTTTTGTTCTTCCCAGGAAGCATAGTCATGTAGGCCACTTTTCAGAATCCTGATCCAACTAGGTGTCCGGTGGCCGTCCCTTGAGATTTCCAGGGAATTAATGGTATCTGAGCCTTCAGGGAGGATATTGTCTGGTGAAGCCATTGTAGCAGCTCAAATGTTGAGGTTCTATTGATTATGAGTAGTGGAAAGATAGGTGCCTAGCACTGTTGACTACTGTGCCCTCTAGTGTCTGGGCTGTCTAGCTCCCCAAAAATAGCAGCACTGAATCTTTTTGGGTCTGTGGAAGGTACAGAGTCAGTCACTCAAGAACCACAGCATTGACCACCTCCTTCTGCAGGGAAAGCAAGCAAGGAGATGAGAGTTCATGTTAATGTGCAGTTGGAAGTCAACCACCTTACCTGCTCTTCACCATCAGAAAATGCTACCAAGAAATGCCTGGAGAGCTCTGTTCTTTGCTTACTAGCCATTGCCTGAGGTTCCACAGACAAGGTAAAAAGCAAAGAAAGGTGAGAAGAGGCAACAATCTGTGGTTGTAATGGTCTTGGCTAGGGGACAGCAGGTGGAACTTGCAGGCATATCTGCAAACAAAGCAGGACTGGGACTGGGCAAGACTGCTATTTCCTCCCATAGGAACCAATACCTGAAATATTTCCAGCTCAACTTCCAGAGCAGATGGCAGGGAAATATTATAAAATGCCTGTCTCTACAATAAGGAAATTCCTCTATTGCAATCCACTGCTCCTAGTCTTTCTCCTATGAGTAAAATTAATTTTATATATTGTATATAAATATCCCTATGATCAAAATAATGAAAAAAAATCTATACTGCTTAGAACTATTAAGCTAGGAATTTAACTTTGCTTAGAAAAAATAAGGATGGATTCATTTTAATAGACCACTTAGGACTATTAAAGATAGATTTTCTATTTTAAAATAACTATAATAAAACATTTGTTTATGTTCACTAAACTTCTAGTTATGCTTTAGCCCAAACTGTCTATTTGTTAAAAATAAATATGGGTATAGATTTCTCAAGTGATATGTGGTTTTAATTTAACATTTAATCTAAATGAAATATTTAAACTTAATAAGGCTATGGCAAGTCACTTGCATGGACAAGGACGTATCAGACATTAAGCTCAACTCAAAGATTTTACTTTTTTAAATGCTTGAAATGAAAAGATTACTGCAAAATTCAAGGAGCAAAAAAATAGATCATAAACTTGGAGTTGTACCTGGGATAAAAACGTATCATATAAACAGAGGAACTTGCTTAACAAGTTTTTCCAAAAATACAGTCAGAACAAACATGGTAATTGAAAGGTAAGACCTAGGGAATGAAGACTATCACATGAACATTTCCAGTATTTTCCTCTATTTCTTGTGTCACATTCTATAATACAGGTTTCTGTTTTCTGTAAAATATCAGCTGCATTATTCTGTAAAACTTTCTAGTACAGAATTATGAAAGTATTTCATTGCAGATTCTTAAATCTGTTAAGACTTGTCGCATTTATTTATCAATATGACATATCAAGTGAGGATTGCACCACCACTTTCTACTAGACTGCAAAAAAACAAAAGCAACACATTTACAAAGGCATAATTTGAAAGTACCCCATTTATTTTAAGATTGGAAATCCTATGTATAAACTTTATGGTCCAGCAACACAAATTCTTCCAAGAATCATAATTAACTTTGTGATCTGGGGTTTATTGAACAGAACAGTAGCTGCTTAGTATAATTCTAATCATCCTTCACAATGTTCTTATTCCTATTTTAAAAATTAGTCCTGCTTTTTTTGCAAGATTAAATTTCACATTCTTTAGTTATCTTAATGGTGTAAGAACATTATTAGCTGAATTTTCATTTATGTTTACAGGAACTATCTGAATTCAGAATGCTTAAATAAGTTTTGTTTTAAAAAATGAGGTTATCTTTGAAATTGTAGAACACTCAGAATAGAGAAGAACATAC